CAAAATGTAAGCCACATGCCATTAATTGTTTTGATTATTATGGACGGTACAGTAATTAAGTGTTTTGTTTACATTTCCGTTCTACTGATCTGATTGGTCAGACTTAAAAGCAGGAATCTCATTTCCACGTCCACAAACCAAAGTGTAGTGGGCTTAATTTGATCATGTCACAACCCGTATTCATGATACGATGCATCTAATGCCAATGCCAATGTCACACATGTGTCCTTCCAAAGATGTTTTTTGGGAAGAAAATGACTTTAATGCAAATTGATCAAGATAACTGAATCTTTGGACTGTCAATTGAAATTAAGATCTTTTATTTTCTAGGCTGAATACTTGAAACATGGTGATGAATTTTACGTTGTGTATAAAAAGTATGATCCATCATTAAGTAAGTATCTCTGTAATGGGATCAAATTTGACAAGTACAACAAGCATTCTTTCTTTTCCAAATGTTTCTCCTGATCATAATAAAACCTTCACTAAAAAGAGAAAAATTCATTAAATACAGAAATACAGAATTTCAAAAAGTCGGAGGTACACAATTTCTAGCCTTAAACACAGCATGATCGCATCAATTTACTCCATTCCAATTTTCGGTCAGACAGCTTGTGCAAAACCACAAAAACAAAGCTATTGCCAATCTTATAGGTCCAGGTGCCATTTAGGGGGAATAATTTTCGTCTTCAATGTATAAAAATGGCATTATTAAAGATACTTCTAACTAGGATTTTTACCCACTATTTCTATATAAACTAGTGTCCAAAAGAAACGATACCAACTTATTTTCAAAATTGTTTTTTACTAAGTGAATTGTCTAATATGAAAACATGCCAATTTGTATTGCACATCCCAAACACAACATAGTCGATAAAAATACCGGGAACACGTGATTACTTCCGGGAAAAAACGTAAATTTCGTGAAAGTGACATTTCCCTCTCTAGCATGTTCTGCACGTGCATAAAAACTGTATAAAACGGCTGATCAGACACGTTGATATCACAGCAACAAAAAGAACACAAGATATGCCACGTTTGACAGCCATCGAGAGAGAGAGAGCCGTTGGAATGGTCCAACAAGGAGCGACACACGTCGACGTCGCCAAAAGGTTGGGCTGCGCACGCATCACTATCACCAGGTTGATGCAGCGGTTACATCAGACAGGTCAGACGTCAGACAGGCCCAGGAGCGGAAGACCACGAGTAACCACGCCCCGTGAAGATCGTTACATCCGGGTATTACACCTGAGGAACCGCACCTTAACAGCGACATCCACGGCGGCTACAGCACTGGGACACATGATCAGTCGACAGACCGTCTACAGGAGATCACGGCAGTATGGTATCCGGCCACGTCATCCCTACCGCGGACCGCTCCTGACGCCTCGACACCGGAACAACAGACTGATCTGGGCCAGGCGAGTTCGACGTTGGCAACGGCGGGACTGGGCACGTGTTATGTTCTCTGATGAGAGCAGATTCCTCATCTTCAAAAATGATGGACGGCAGCTTGTATACCGACGATTTGGTGAACGTTTGGCGTCTAACTGTATCCAACAGGTCCGGCCGTTTGGAGGTGGAGGGTTAATGGTTTGGGGTGGCATATGCGGTGACGTCAAAACGAGGCTTGTCGTGGAAACCTGAATGCACAGCGTTATATTGATGACATCCTACGGCCTGTTGTGGTGCCCTTTATTCAGCAACAGCCTCGTGGACTCCTTTTCCAACATGACAATGCAAGGCCACACACAGCAAGATTGAGACAGAACTTCCTTGCCAACACCAACGTACAGGTTTTGCCATGGCCCGCATGTTCACCGGACATGAATCCCATCGAGCACTTATGGGACCACCTCGATCGGAAATGTTCTTTTTTCGACCCCACCCATCTTTAAAGGCTTGTCATATTGGTTGTACAGATTTTATTGAAATGAAATTTTTGTACAGATGTTGTGAAAGGATTTCTCAAAAGCATAACACCAATCCTAAACTTCTGCATTGTTTAGTTTTTCTTTTATGTCGTTGCAAACAGGTGGTATCGTTTCTTTTGGACACTAGTTTATTTTACCGTTATATTTCTAGCAACATTATTGCTAGGCTTTTGGCACTGACTGTATTTCACTGTATATTTTCAGGAACAAGTAGACAAGAGAATACAGTGGTTAAAGGTCCAGTATTTACAACTGTACTACGATAGTGACCGCTGTCAGGGACCCACACCAGCAGAGGCAATTAAGGTAAGGTCTATTTATAAATATTTCAGCAGCAATCTCTTTAACAATACTCATGTAAACTTCAATTAATATTAACAACTAGATTTCAATTTTACATTTCCTGTTTTATTCCCAGGAAAAGATAAGTCAATTGTGTGCAAGGAGGGGGGGCTTCAAAATAACAAAAAATTTGATAACGTATAAGATTGCTAAACCAATGCAACTAATAAGTCTGCAGCAAAACGCGGTATGGTGATCATTGATCCATATTATGATAATCTACATTCCAATAGCTCCAAGGTGAAATGTCTTCAAGATTACATTAAAGCTAAGCCAGTAATGGTTTTAATTGATTATAAACACCATCTATCATTTTAACAACCCTAGGAACCATCTTGATGATAATCCAATTGATAATTCAATAAAATATCAAACTTCTAAACACCAGCTTGTCAACAATATTATTCTCATTCAAGGCCAGTGTAAGTTGGTTCGTTTATTGGTGGGCAAAATATAGGTCAATAAATAGATCAAGTACTAATGATCCGAACTGCAAAACGAAATCCGAAATCCAAACAACCATATTGGCTAACCATTAATTCAATTGAAGATTCCATTGCTTGAATCTATAATTAGTACAGATTTTGAGCCCCTTGTGATTCAGGAATGTCTCCTTTCAAATCAGTTTTTCCTTCGCCATTTCTATCCTAAATTTCTGTGATCTCTACCCCAAAATGTATTGAATTGGTTTGCTGATTACCAGTAACTAGTGCCAAAGAGAGTAGGCCTTCTCACCAATCTGACGTTTTATTTGGAACATTATAAACAATGTAAGTTCATTAAACAAAAGTAACTTCAACTATTGACGTCAATCAAAAATATTGACACAATATAAACAAGAACCAAAAGATTAAGTCACATTTTCTGTCCCCCCCCCCTTCTTTTAATTCATCATGTGAAAAGTAATAAAGGTTGTAATATCAGAATGTAGTTTATGGTCTGATTAAACTCGATGGAATAGTTTGATCTAATAACCCCGAGGGACTGATCAGGACAATTTACCCTATGTTTAATAATGATTAATAGAGTTATGGACCTTGACTTTATGATTAATAATGGTCGTAGAATGTTGTATCATATTTCTCATAAACATTGTTATTTACTATCTTCTATATTATAAATATTCCACATGAGTCATGTGACTTGTTGGTTAGCCAAGTTGAAAAAAACGAGTTGCAGAATGGCAGCAGTTGTGGCAGAAATCTCTTTCCTTGAAACATGAAACATTGATAGGCTTTATTCACTGTCTTTTAAATCAAATATATTTCGCAGGAATTACGTGACTTGTTGGTTAGCAAATTTTAAAACCGAGTTGCAGAATGGCAGCAGCTATGTTAGAACGATCCATACTTGAAAAAATGAAAAATTGATTGGTTTTATTCACTGTCTTTTACATTATGAATATTTCACAGAAGTCATGTGACATGAAAACTATTAGTCATGTTGGTGCTGTGACAGAGACGCCAGTAGAAAAATCTGGTTGCATAATGACACTGCATCAGTTGTGTTAGAACCATCTTTACATGAATCACATAGTAATTACTATCTTCTATATCATGAATATACCACATGTCATGTGACATGGCCATTATCAGCTTTGTTGGTTCTCTGATAAAGACAGTCAAGTAAGATTCTCAGTTACAGAAGGGTTCCTCCTGTCTTGCTACTTTTCTATATAGAGTTTTGAATTTGGTTTACTCTCTTCATAATGAATATATCAGATGACCATTTATCATTGTTGGTTGTCTGTTAGGGATACAGAGTTGACAAATCTAACTGCTCTCATAATGACCCTTGAGCATGTGTTCATCCTGTTGTATCATTGTTACAAACAAAGATATCTGGTGTATACAGAATTAATAGAATCAATGTATATGCTCGAGAATGCCTGTTTTACTGAATATGAATGTTTTATTTAAGTTTGACCTGTATCTTTGAAATATACAAATTTACAGCAAGACATATTGATTAAGATCAGAAATGAAGACTTATTCCAGATCAACTGACTTTCACATGCTGACCAAGATCAAAACCCATGATCACCATGATTGTTTGATTATTTATGCCAGTAGTACTGTCTGTCAGCATAATATTGTGATGACGACATTGTGTAAACTGGTTAATTGGTAACACTAATTATATCTGATTAGTAAGCTATGTAACAAGTTGTTGGCCAAGTCTGGAAGCTATGTTAGTAACTGGATATTAGCCATGAGGCCAATTTTAAGCCTTGCTGACGTCTTTCTACTATGGAGATCTCAGTACTAATTGACTCAGTATCTGGTGTATGGAGAAAGAAGTTAATATCATTATCTAAACTAGAATAGAGAGACTTATAATAATCTCTATCAATAAGCCACCATATTTATATTTTTATAAGTATTTAGATACGCTGTCTTTCTTGAGATCTCTTGACAGTTGGAAATTGGAAAAAAGAGTAGGCTTATGCTGCTGGCCTGGCAAAATTTCCCTCATCAAACACTGCTTGGCATTGCCCTTCTTCATAGGTTTTGGTTTGTCAAATAATGCCCAGCTTTAGAGAGTCAACATAGCTTTTAATGTTCAATTGATTTTTGGGTTTTGCCACTTGACTTCCTTTCTGAAACAGTCCCCATCAATGTGATTTCAGAGACCCAGAAGAAACATTTTGGGTGAAAGGATGGTCCCTTTACAGAAAGAAATCAGCCGTACATGCAAAATTGTCAGCTCCCACTTCTGAGATAATTAGAGAACCTACATCTAATACACCAAGCTTATGTCAATGAATCATGAAGAATTAGACTGAACTGACAACAACGCCTGCAAGTATAAATAACATGAACCAAAAAAGTTCGCACATTTTTCCCAACATGCCATTGTGTTTGACAGCTTTACTGAAACAGTGGGCTATAAATGACAGAATCTTTATTCTCTCTACATCTAAAAATAAGATCAGACGTTTTATAGACTTAACTGGTAAAATCTGGACTAAGATGTATAATAATGGTTGATTCCCTTGCTGATATTTGACCTAGTAAACAAGTTTTTTGATGCGTTAATATTCTGATATTATATGACATGGTGACCAATCATCCATCTCATTCTGGCGGCATAGTCTTGACAAAATCTTAGTGCTAGGATATCCTAGGGTCTTAACTTCTAACATTGTTTCTAGGATATCTTAGGGTCTTAATTTCTAACACTGTTTCTAGGATATCCTAGGGTCTTAACTTCTAACATTGTTTCTAGGATATCCTAGGTTCTTGATTTCTAACACTGTTTCTAAGATATCCTAGGGTCTTAATTTCTAACACTGTTTCTAGGATATCCTAGGGTCTTAATTTCTAACACTGTTTCTAGGATGTCCTAGAGTCTTAATTTCTAACACTGTTTCTAGGATATCCTAGGGTCTTAACTTCTAACATTGTTTCTAGGATATCCTAGGGTCTTAATTTCTAACACTGTTGCTATGATATACTAGGGTCTTAATTTCTAACACTGTTTCTAGGATATCCTAGGGTCTTAACTTCTAACACTGTTTCTATGATATCCTAGGGTTTTAACTTCTAACATTGTTTCTAGGATATCCTAGGGTCTTAACTTCTAACACTGTTTCTAGGATATCCTAGGGTCTTAACTTCTAACACTGTTTCTAGGATATCCTAGGGTTTTAACTTCTAACATTGTTTCTAGGATATCCTAGGGTCTTAACTTCTAACACTGTTTCTATGATATACTAGGGTCTTAATTTCTAACACTGTTTCTAGGATATCCTAGGGTCTTAATTTCTAACACTGTTTCTAGGATATCCTAGGGTCTTAATTTCTAACACTGTTTCTAGGATATCCTAGGGTCTTAATTTCTAACACTGTTTCTAGGATATCCTAGGGTCTTAACTTCTAACACTGTTTCTAGGATATCCTAGGGTCTTAATTTCTAACACTGTTTCTAGGATATCCTAGGGTCTTAATTTCTAACACTGTTTCTAGGATATCCTAGCGCTAAGATGGATTTGTGAATATGACTGAATATCTTTTTACATCTGGTGATGGGAAATCTATACAATTCCTTTAACATTAAGTCTGTGGAAACCCTGGAAAAGATGGCTTGATAAACTATGTGGACTCTGTGAAAAGGATACACCAATACTTTTCATCAAAAACTCTTATTTACATGGAACAGAATTAGGTACGTTACGCCAAAGTGACATGGCTCTGTCTAGCATTCGGACGATATATATCCAGGATGACAAGTCCGGTGGCATCAGGGAATCTGTAAGAGCATGGTTCTCCTAGCCAGCGATAGCTATCATATATACACTGATGGTATTTCTCTTTGGAGAAGTCCACAACTATACTACTATAACCCTCCATTTTTTATCAACAGAATTGTCTTGCTGGTACAGATTTTTATTATTGTGAAACTCAAACCAAACCAGAAAGAGCCATGGAACTCAGATTCTTGAGCTTGAAGCTATTATGATGAAAAAAATAACCTCCAGGGCAGTCTTGTCTACCAGCAGAATCATTGGCCTATTGCACCATTCTTTGATAAATTTCAGATATTAAGAAATCAAGTAATGTCATTAGTATAGACAAGAAAATAAGTAAATTTCTGTGAGATATGCCATCTTTTATTGAACACGACTAGAAACGTAGAAAGATTCCCTTACTGATAGTTGACCTAGAAAACATATTTTGATGTGTTAATATTCTGATATTTTATGACATGCTCACCTATCAGGACAATATTCTACTGATTTTGATTTCTTTTTTGTTTCTGGCCTGTAGGACATAAAACTCATTTCCTTTCATTTGCTTCTTGCCAGTCAGGAGAATTGTCAAGTTCTTTGAGGCATGAAAGAAAATAGAATACTAATATTATTAGCTACAAGTCCAAAACTTATTTGTTGCTGGCTTGAATAAATAAACTAAGTACTAACAATCCGAACTGCAAACAAAACCCGAAATCCAAAACAACCTTTT